AAAATAATCTGACAACAGCCAGCAGTCCCTTTCCTGGGGACCCAGCCCATAGAAATAAAAGAATATATGTTCTATGAACTTTATTGTAGCATTATGTTAGCAGAATTAAAACAAAGTGAATGTGTGTTAATAAGAAAATAGATACATCCCCCAAAACATGGAGTATCAGACAGCCTTTATAAAGGCTGAAGTAGAGATATACTGGCTAACTTGGATGAATTTCCATGAGATATTAAGAAATGTGAGACAGAGGTAAGAGTGTTTCATTCTAGTTTTGTAAAACAATATATGTTTACAAGTGTATGTTTATTTTGTATGTGATTAAACATAAGGAAAAGACAGGATGACATCAATTAGGTCATCCACATCAATTACCATGGGCCCTGGCGTAAACTAGGGAAGGACGTATGGGGGAGAAGAAGGAGAATGAGAAGGGGAACAACCAAGAAGCTGAAGAAAATACTGCTGTTTTTTAAAAAGTATATATTTTTTGTAAAATCATAAATGGATTTATAGTATATTTATAATTATAGTCTATTCTTATTTTTTTAAAGATTTTATTTATTAATGAAAGACACAGGCAGATGGAGAAGCAGGTTCCCTGCGGGGAGCCTGATGTGGGACTTGATCCCAGGACCCCAGGATCACACCCTGAGCCGAAGGCAGACGCTCAACTATTGATCCCCAGGCGTCTCTATAGTCAATTATTATTTTCAGTGTCTATATTTTCCAATTTGCCTACTTACTAAAATGTAATCATAACTGCAAATCAATCGATAGAAACATACACTAACACAAGGTTATGATCAATTGATGAAAATGTAACCAGAGGCTCACAGGAACCTATGCCTATGATTCCTCTAGAAGTGGTGATTCGGGGGACCCCTGGATGGCTTAGTCGGTTAAGTGCCTGACTCTTGATTCCTCCCTGGTCAGGATCTCAGGATTAGGAGATCCAGCCCAGCATCACGCTCCGTGCTGTGGGTGGAGCTGGCTTAGGACTGTCTCCTTCTCTCTCTGCCCCACTCCCACTACCCCTCTCTTAAAAAAAAAAAAAGAGGAAGCAATGATTCAGTCTTCATAAACTCTGTGGCAACCTTCAGGAATGTGTCCAGCACACTTAACAGGAACTGATGTGTGTTTAGTATCCAGGTTTAAAAGATGAGGTAAGGGAGACATGATCTTAGGTTTTCCGTTCTGAAATCCTTGAGTGACCTTAATAGCTGTATGTATCTTGTTCGCAGTCATTGTATTAAATCTTCTAGTTAGTTCTGTGAATTTGCTGATTCCTTTGGGTTGTACACTCAATACAATGATGTCACATCTTAGCCTCACCATTTCCAACAGCTACTTCTTGTAGTTTTTATGCCTTTATATATTACGAATCCTTCTTAAACAACAGGAAAAAAAGATGGTGAAAATGAGCTTCCTTGCACTTTTTCTGAGTTGAGAAGAAATAACTTTGGAGCATAGGTCACAAACTCCAGTGCCTTTCGGGGCCAAGCACATCATTTTGCCCGTCGAGTGTCCTGGAGGCGCCCCCTCGTGGAAACTTCATACAGGCATTGCAATTTTCCGGGTCCACAATTAATTGAGAATTTTTGAATGGGGTGTGTGAGCCAGACATAGTGGAAGTACCACCAGTTTACCCTCTACTCTAGAATCTTGCAATGGAGTATAAGGCTGACTTTTTAAAAACTTAGTTATTTTTTTCATTATCTTACCAGGTGAGCATTAATAGTTGTTCCGTGTTCCATAGCAGCTGCTGGTGCACTGTATTCAAGTGTTAGTTGAAAATCCAAATGTGCTTAAAATAAAAATGAAAGATTAGGGGCACTTGGGTAGCTTCGTTGGTTAAGTGGCTGCCTTGGGCTCCCGTCATGATCCTGGGGTGCTGGGATGGAGCCTCACGTTGGGCTCCCTGCTTCTCCCTCTCCTCTCCCCCGCTCATGCTCTTTTTCTGGCTCGCTCACACTCTTTCTCTCTCAATAAATAATGACATCTTTCAAAAAAGAAAACAAGAAAATAAAAATTATATGGATGAAACTGCCAGCTACATAGTGAAAATAATAGCTTCTAGTGAACTCTACCATCAGAAACCTGTCTGCCTGGTTCACAACTCAATATTAAAAAGAAAAAAACTTATTTCTCTTTTTAAAAATTTATTCATGATAGACATAGAGAGAGAGAGGCAGAGACACAGGCAGAGGGAGATGCAGGCTCCACGCAGGGAGCCCCACGCGGGACTCGATCCCAGGACCCCAGGACTATGCCCTGGGCCAAAGGCAGGCACTAAACCACTGAGCCACCCAGGGAACCCCCTATTTCTCATTTTAAAAAGAAAAAAATGTCCTTGATAAAGATTTTGGATTACTTTGATTCAATTTTTAGTTTCAGTTAGATTTTCTCACATCCTTAGCAAAAGAAAAATGAATTTAGGTAAGCAAAAGAATTAGGGAACTTCAAAAGTGATTTTTTTTTTTAAAAAAAATCACACAACCTAGAAGAATTTTCATCCATTTGAAGTCTGCTGAATTTCTGGAACTTAATTTTCCTGCAAAATTTTTGTTTGCTTTAATAATTTTTTTATATACTCATTTCACAGAGAGAGAGAGAGAGAGCGCACACGCAGGGGGAGCCCCAGGCAGAGAGAGAGGGAGAAGCAGGCTCCTCACTGAGCAGGGAGCCTGACATGGGGCTTGATTCAGGATCCCAGAGTCATGACCTGAGCTGAAGGCAGATGCCCAACTGACTGAGCCACCCAGGCGCCCCCCCCAAAAAAAATATCTTCAAATTGCTCTTCACTTGCTAGCTCATCTGCACAGAGTTATGTCTTAACTGCAAGGTACTTACTGCTTCTTCTAAGAATAGTTAGAAACGTCAGGGCTTCTAGGGCCAGGCCTCAGTAAGGAACAGGACAAGTGAACCCTGACAGGTGTGTGCACCCTCTCTAAAGCTGCTTTCTACTATGTGTCACCTACCTATTGTCCTTTCATGGAAATGAGAGCAACGTGGCCAGGTTTCCCAATCCCTCAAGAGAAGTCAGAAGTCCAGCTTTTTATGTAGAATTTCCCAATTTTTAAACTCTGCAGGCAAACGTAAATAGGTCAGTGAACTGGATCTGACCCTTAGATTAGTAGTTCATAACCCCTAATCAAGGGTTAAAAGGTTCTCCTGGTAAAAAACTTAGGAGGTAAGTATGCAGAAATCAGAAGCATGTGGTTACTAGACTTTAAACTAACATGAGTGGTCCCATGGTGGAGGACCAGAATCTCTGTTCTTTATCACCTTCTCCTCCATTTAGGAATGTGAAGATATCCTGAATTTCGAATGTCTTTTGAGAATGCAGCTCTTTTTTTTTTTTTAGAGTTTATTTATTTATTCACGAGAGACACACAGAGAGAGGCAGAAACACAGGCAGAGGGAGAAGCAGGCTCCCTGTGGGGAGCTGATGCAGGACTCGATCCCAGGACCCTGAGATCACGCCTTGAGCCAAAGGCAAACGCTCAACCACTGAGCCACTCGGGCCCTGAGAATGCAGCTCTTTGCCAAGCATTATTACATATAGTTTATCAAAAAGAGCCAACACTCCTTTAATGTTGGTTCTATTACTTAATGGTCTAAAACTCAAAAAGTCAATTCCATTATAAATTTTCAAAAAGCTCACTGTCAAATTAAAAAAAGATAATGTTGAAATTCTGGGGAGCTGGTGGAGGGCATAGAGGGGTACCCACTCTAATGAGAGCCATCTTCATTTTCTGGCTCAGAGAGGAATGCAACAGAGAACAGTACAGGGAGCCATGTGTGCCAAGGCACTTAAGGAGAGAAATCGTTTTGAAATGAGTATAAAATTGGAATTTCAGTATGTATACACATTGATTAACTGCTTATAGAAAAAGTTCCAAGGACAGCCACGAACATTCAGGTTGCTCTGGCAATCTGTATTCTATAGAAGGGTCATCAGCCTGTTCTCAATGGGTCTCCAGTTCTGGAGCAATTGTTGCTAGCATTGCAGAGATAACATGCCCAATTTCCATATAGCTTTATTTGCTTTTGTAAGGAAAACACAGTGCCCATGTAATTACTCTCTCTTCTTTGGTAACTGGATGTGATCAGGGGTTTTAGAAGGTGATGCTTAGGGAAGGTAGAGGAATGAGAAAAGAATAAGGAAAACCTAAGACACATTGCAATTTTTTTTATTATAAATTAATTTTTATTGGTGTTCAATTTACCAACATACAGAATAACACCCAGTGCTCATCCCGTCAAGTGTCCCCCTCCGTGCCCGTCACCCATTCACCCCCACCCCCCGCCCTCCTCCCCTTCCACCACCCCTAGTTCATTTCCCAGAGTTAGAAGTCTTTATGTTCTGTGTCCCTTTCTGATATCTCCCACACATTTCTTCTCCCTTCCCTTATATTCCCCTTCACTATTATTCATATTCCCCAAATGAGTGAGAACATACACTGTTTGTCCTTCTCCGATTGACTTACTTCACTCAGCATAATACCCTCCAGTTCCATCCACGTTGAAGCAAATGGTGGGTATTTGTTGTTTCTAATGGCTGAGTAATATTCCATTGTATACATAAACCACATCTTCTTTATCCATTCATCTTTCGATGGGCACCGAGGCTCCTTCCACAGTTTGGCTATTGTGGACATGGCTGCTAGAAACATCGGGGTGCAGGTGCCCCGGACACATTGCAATTTGACCTAGAGCAGGCCTGACCATGTCATACAAATTATCTTGTGAATATTTTAACATGTGTTTCATTAGTTGCCAGTCTCTGTCAAAAAGACAGAAGAGGGGCACCTGGATAGCCCAGTCAGTTAAGTGTCTGCCTTTGGCTCAGGTCATTATCCCGGGGTCCTGGGATGAGCCTCGTCCGGCTCCCTGCTCAGACAGGAGTGTGCTCCCTCCCCTCAGCTTGTGCTCTCTCCTTCACTCTTTCTCTCAAATAAAGAAATAAAATCTTTAAAAATAAAAGACAGAAGATAGCGCTTGCTTTGGCAGCACATAGACTAAAATTGGAACGTTACAGAGTAGATTAGCATGGCCCCTGCACGAGGATGACACGCAAATTCGTGATGCATTCTGTATTTTTTCAACTGTGCCATTTTTATTTTATTCCTTTTTTCTCTTTTCGCAGAGAAATAAAGGTCTAGAAATTAAAGAAGACAGAAGATAAAAGATATCCAAGTACTATTCCTTGCTTGTAATCCTATGATTTTTTTTTTCAATTTCATCCTGTATTCTTCAGGACTATTTGAGACATTTTAGCTTTAAAATTATCCAGTACAAGTAGAATCCCAATATTAAACACCTAGTCGGTAGCCAAACTGTCTTTATCAGGTCCATATTCTGTTATAAAACTAAATCTGGGGGTGCCTGGGGGCTCAGTCAGTTAAGAGTCCAACTCTATTTCAGCTCAGGTTATAATCGCAGGGTTGTGAGATTGACCCCATGCAGGGCTCTGTGCTGGGTGTGGGGACTGCTTAAAATTCTGTCTCCCTCCCCCATTGCCCTGACTCTCCCAAAAAAACAGATAAATAAAAATAAAATAAAAAAGTAAATCTGTTGCTAAATTGTATGGTAGAGTGAGACAAACTTTTTTTAATCTTTAAAATAAAGATTTGACATTCCCTCTATATATCCTGTTAGGAAACAGCATAAATACGGTTCAAAAAAAAGTAACAGAGGCACATGGAAGGCTTAGTGGGTTAAGCGCCAGACTCTTGGTTTCAGCTCAGATCCCAATCTTGGGGCTGGGGATCGAGCCCCATGTCAAGCTCTGCACTTGGTGTAGAGTCTGCTTGAGATTCTTTCTCCCTCTCCTTCTGCCCCTCCCACTCAGGCTCGCTCGCTCTCTCTCTCTCTCTCTCTCTCCCCCTCAAATCTTTTAAAAAAGAAGAAAAAAATAACAGAATATAGTATTACCACAATGTATTACCACAGGCTCTTAATAAGAGGGCTCCTTTAGAAGTATCGTATTTGTTACTTGAAGAAGAAAAGTTATACACCTTTTTGATGAGTAGCTTCCCATGGTAGAAAGAACAATGAATTCAGAGTGCAGAGCCCCACCTTCAAGCTTCAGACTTCCAGCTTCATCTTCTCTCTCACCAGCTAGGAGAACCTCGGGCAAGTCCTAGTTCTCTTTCAACCTCATTTTAATCATGACTAAAACAAGAGGCTTGGATTTATGATTTCTGGGGTTCAATCCTGCTGTAACCAGCTCTTATTAGATTTTTTATTCTTAAGAGTGTTTCTTTTTTTATTTTTTTTTATTTATTTATGATTCAGAGAGAGAGAGGAGAGAGAGAGAGAGAGAGAGAGAGGCAGAGACACAGGCAGATGGAGAAGCAGGCTCCATGTACCAGGAGCCCGACGTGGGATTCGATCCCGGGCCTCCAGGATCGCGCCCGGGGCCAAAGGCAGGCGCCAAACCGCTGCGCCACCCAGGGATCCCCTTAAGAGTGTTTCTTAAATATTGTCAAGTCTATTTGACAAAAACTGTAAATTAATAAAATACCAATCCTTTTTCAGCAGACAACACATAGCATATGAAATTGGGAAAATCCCTTTAAATACAGAGTTATCCTGTGAACCATCATATCCCTAGAAACTTTGAAATACAATAATTTTAGGAAGAATGCCACACTTTATATATAATTTAAATTCCTTCAGGCACCTGAGTGGCTCAGCAGTCAGTTAAGCATCTGCCTTTGGCTCAGGTCATGATCCCAAGATCCTGGGATCAAGCCCTGCATCAGGCTCCTTGCTCAGGGGGAAAAGTCTGCTTCTCCTTCTCCCTCTGCCCACATGTGCGCACTCTCTCTCTCAAATAAATATATAAAATATTTAAAAAATAAATAAATTCCTCTTCAGAAGTTACAATATTTTCAGATAATCTTCCCAGATGCAAAATCTAAAATTAAACATGGGAGACACAGATTTCCAGTTATGGAATAATAAGTCATGAGAATAAAAGACACAGGTCAGGGAATATATAGTCAATGATATTGTAACGGTGCTGCTTGGTGACAGATGGTGGCTACACTTGTGTTGAGCAGAGCATAATATATGCACTTGACCAATCCCCATGTTGTACACCTGAAACTGATGTAAGTTGTGTGTTGACTCCGATTTTTAAAAAAATTCTATTTAAAATTAATATTTAGGGGCAACTGGGTGGCTCAGTCAGTGAAGCGTCCAACTCTTGGTTTTAGCTCAGTCCATGATCTTAGGGTCATGAGATTGAGCCCCGAGTCAGGTTCCTCGCTCAGTGGGGAGTCTGCTTGAGTTTCTCTCCCCCCTTCTGCCCTTCCCCCTACCTCATGCATTCTCTCTCTCTCTCTCCAAAAATAAATAAATAGGATCTGTAAAAAAAAGTAAAGTTAATATTTAAAAATTGTTTAAATTAAACCGAATATGAACCTTTTCAAATATGCAAGCAGTTGCTGAACATAAATTCCTGTCATTCACAGACATGCTACTAATAGAATGACAACTTTCAAACACATTTCTCCTGTATATGTTTATTGGGTTTCTCATTTAGGTAGGTCAGCGAATTGGTCTTTGCCTAATGTGGCTGTATAATTTAGACTGCTCAAAGACATGTCGCTATTTTAACAAACCATATTTATAAAAAATTGTGTTTATAGAGACAGGATTCTATGCAATCTTAGCAGTTAATGCTAGCATTCAATTCCAGTTGATCAATATTCTATTTGATCTTACAGCCTGTTGATGTTTAGCATTTAACATCCTTTTTCCTAAAAAAAAAAAAAAATTAATGACTTCACCTTTTTCTTTTTTTTTTACTTCACCTTTTTCATAATAAATAGTCCGAAAGATATCCTTACAGTAAAAATTTGTATACTGAACTTTGTCCTCTTTAGTTGGCATTGAATGTAGTTCAAGTATGACTTTTTCCCAGGGCTCAACATCACTTGCCTTAGTTACAGAAGGGTATCACCTGAATGCTTTGCATCAATTGCCTGAAACTTAAAAAGTATCTGTAGTTAATGTTAAAACTTTACATTTCATTTTCAGATAGTCTGCTCTTTTAAATGATTGGGAGAGGGGCGTATACCAAGACTGTAATTGTTTCAATATGATGAAAACACTGTCAGTAAGAATTTAAGTAAATTAGGGCACCTAGTTGGCTTAGATGGTTAAGCATCTGCCTTCGGCTCAGGTCATGATCCTGGGGTCCTGGGATCGAGTTCCGCATCAGGCTCCCTGCTCAGAAGGGAACCTGTTTCTCCCATTCTCACTCTGCCTCTCCCTCAGTTTGTGCACTCTGTCGAATAAATAAATAAAAATCTTAAAAAAAAGAAGTAAATTAGATTTAAGTAAACAACGTGTATTGGTGATGTAAATAGTAAGCCATTCTAATCTAGTTCCTTTTCTCTGAGATGCTTAAAATCCTTTATGACTATTTTATATATTATTTATATTATTATTATAGAGTCTATGCATGTGTGTGTATATATATACACATATATAGTATGTATAGAGACTTTTTAAAAAATTTTAAAAGATTTTATTTGTTTATTCCTGAGAGACACACAGAGAGAGAGAGAGAGAGGCAGAGACACAGGCAGAGGGAGAAGCAGGCTCCATGCAGGGAGCCTGATGTGGGACTCGATCCCGGGACTCCAGGATCGCACCCTGGGCCAAAGGCAGGCGCTAAACCACTGAGCCACCCAGGCTGCCCCGAGACTTTTTTTTTTTTTTTAAAGATTTTATTTCGTAATTCATGAGAGATACACAGAGAGAGGCAGAGACACAGGCAGAGGGAGAAGCAGGCTCCCTCCGGGGAGCCCGATGTGAAACTCGATCCCAGGACCCTGGGGTCACACCCTGAGCTCAAGGCAAATGCTCAAACTATTGTGCTACCCAGGCATCCCAGAGAGAGATACTTTTTAACACTTGCAATTTAGCCAGGCAGAAATAATGATAAAACAATATTCAAATGAATTTTTAAATGACTATTATTCATCCTAAGAAGATGTTATTACAAGACAGATGATACCTAATTTTATTTCGTATCATATCACCTATAGTGGGCTCCACGGTGTTCCTTAAAAATATATATCCGTGTCCTAATCCCTGGAACCTGTGACCGTTACCTTATAGATGTAATGAAGTTAAGTATTTTGAGATGGGGGATTACCCTGGATTACCTGAATGAGATTTAAGTGCCATCACAAGTGTCTTCTTAAGAGGAAACAAAGGGAGATTTGATCCACATGGAAGGGGAGTAAGCAGTGTGTACCCGGCTCGGAGATGGGAGCAGAGCGGTCCGGTCACTAGAAGCTAGAAGGGGCAAGAAACAGGTTCCCTGTCCTAGCGCCTCTAGAAGGAGCACCACTCCGCTGACACCTTGATTTTGGACTTCTGGCCTCCAGACCTGTAAGAGATGGATTTCTGTTCTAAGCCAGTTTGCAGTGATTTGTTGTGGCGGCTCCAGGAAATTCATGCATTATCTCAGAGCACTTTCAGAGGCGTTCATAGGTCATCCGCTGCTTTAAAATTATCTGCTCTCCCATTGTTGCTTATCTTTATTTGTCTTAATAACAGAAGCTTTAAAATAGTACTTAAGAAAGGACTATTATGTTCTGGATTCAAAGATGATTTAATCCGTGACAAGAAATTGTAATATTTCCAGATCTTACCAAGTGAGGTTTCAATTGTGCATTGTTTCTTCAGATCACATTGTTTACTATGTAGAACTTGGTAGCTACTAAAAATGTTGTATCTATTAATTAAAAAAAAAAGATACCATATGCTATCCTATCACAGAAAGCTAATTTATATGGTGAAAACAACTAAAAATTGGTGAGTAAACATTTTTTAAAAATCTCAATGGCAGGGGCACCTGGGTGGCTCAGTGGTTGAGCATCTGCCTTCGGCTCAGGGCATGATTCCAGAGTCCTGGGATTGAGTTCCGCATCAGGCTCCTGCAGGGAGCCTGCTTCTCCCTCTGCCTGTGTCTCTGCCTCTCTCTCTCTGTGTCTCTAATGAACAAATAAATAAAAATCTTTAAGAAAAAAATCTTAATAGCATAACCAATGATAATAGAGTAAGAAATTATAAAGC